TATCCTAAGCTTCAGCAGGAAGAGCTGGTTCTATGAAATGGAAAGAAGCCATGGTATGTCCCTCCAGTGGGGTAAGACAACTCATCAATTTATTTTATGAGTTTGTTGTTTGGTGAGTTTGCCCTGAGGTAAGAAAGCAGGTGAACCTATTGTATTTGACAACAAATGTCTATATTCAGATAGATTCAAAAATGCCATGGGGTGGACCAAATAGAACAGAATCAATTTCTAATAGAGCAGGAGACAAAATTATACATACCAGCTAGTGGATGAGAGAAGAAGCAATAATTGAAATGGCTTTTTGAAGTTTCAGGCACAATAAACATTTCAAACTTTGTAAATAAATGTTTCCAGTCTTTCTTTTCACAGGTGGTCCTCAACTCTCAACCATTCATTTACTGTTTGAAGTTACAACAGCAGTTAAAAAAAAAAAGTGACTTACAACCAGTCCTTGCGCTTGTTACTATTGCAGTATCCCCACCATTATCTAATCAAAATTTGGGCTCTTGGCAATTGGCATGTAATTACAATGGTTGCAGTATTCCAGGGCCATGTGGTTACCATTTGTGACTTTCCTAGCTGACAAGCAGTCAGTGGGGGAAGCTGCATTTGCATAACAATTGCATAATTCACTCAACAACTGCAGTGATTTTGCTTAACAACTGTAGCACAAAAAATGCCATAAAATTGCGCATGGCTCACTTAGCAAGCCTCTTGCTTAGGAAAGGAAATTCTGATCCCAATTTTGGTTGTAAGTTGAGGACTACCCATCTGAAAGCTAACTGCATATATTTTCAACAGTGCAGCTTGGAACTGAGTTAGGAATACTTAATTCTTCTAATATTATAGGCACCGCAAAATAGAATTTACAAACTTCATAAATCCTTCATAGAAAGTTTTTATGCTATGGAAGATGTTTCTGAAAGTTTTACTTAGACTAAAGAATTCAGCTAAATTCCTAAAGTTTATAGTGGCACTTTGCCCCAACAAGTAGATACATTTATTACCACCACCTAAAAGTCAAGTATTCAAAATATTACTTATTACGTCTAGCCAAAAGAAACAAGCATGCTATTTTTAAGCAGAATCTAGAAAGCTCCAGGGTTCATTTCCTCCCCTCATCGAGCTTGAGGCAGATTCATTCCCTTAAGTACAAATGCAGTAGACTGGACTGTCACTAGGGGGAGATTTGGGATTTCATACGGAGAAAAGAGGGGTGGGAATTACTAAATGAGGATCTGCCTGGATATGTCATCTAAACTTATGCATGTCTGATTAGTAAGATCTTCGATAAGATTAGATCATTGCCTATAGGTGATCCCAGCAACCAAGTAAAATAAACAATGCTCCTTAACATTTTATTCATTTCTTTAATTTTTGACCATAATTAATTGATCGGTAGATAGGCAATTTCTTATTAGATGTATATTTCGGTTATTTAAGTAGTATTCAGCCTTTTTACATCTTAAGCTACTAATCGCTCTTTCAAAGGATGTGAGTTTCATAAAGACAGAAACTGAGCAGCCTCCTTTTACCAAGAAGGATAATATACTGTATGGTACCAAAGTATTACATTTATTGTTTGTGCCAGGTTTTAAGGAAATAAAATCTTCCATCGTATTGTTGAACCTTAAGTGGACTTGAAGCAATCTTTTTCACTGCATGAACTGTTTTCAGTAATTGCAAACCAAAAATGTAAACTAATAATCAGGGAGAGAGCAAGATAAGCCAGGCACAATTTTATATTACTTTCTTTGGGCTTCTGAGCCCAGGCCAGTCCAGATCTCTGAGAAATGCTTTGCTAAGATATTCCTTTGCTGTGCCATAATCGACTGGAAAGAGCAGCATTGCCTTTCCTCGCTGGATTCTTTCCCAATTCAGCTGGGGTGTCATATTCCATCTTAACTTCTTGTTCAATCATGTTTTGTGGGATTGCAACACACTGTTAGTTGTCCCATCTCCGGAGCCACCCACAGTTTGGTATTAGAAGAACGGCTATATAAATGTTTTAAATAAATAAATAGTTAACAAGCATCCCACTCAAACAAAAACAGACACAAATACTTTTCTCCTTAAATTTCTTCTCTGTTTTCTGAGATACAAAATTGAACAGGGAGGGAGAGGAGGGATGTACAGACACTCCAGAAGATTGTGCAACATAGCTGTAGCAGATACACCATGTCTATTAATACAAGGAATGTATGTATGTATGTATGTATGTACAGTATCTGTTTTTAAATTTCTATTTTTATTTATTTGTTATGTACATTTCAAAAATTTATAGGATGCTGAAAAAACATAATTTTAAAGTGTCCATAATTTTTTATACAATATGTTGCCAAAATTCTTATCTCTTATAGCAACAATAAAATCCCAGCATTCCTTGACAAATAATGATGGATTATTTTGCTGTGTCCTACAACAAATTTTAAGAAAGACTAGTATAGACACTAGAATTATGTCAACTGTCCACATAAGTGATAGTCTACATATTTCCATTGTTTACCAATGTCTAATTTCTCTGCTAGAAGTAGACACTTAGTTTTTTTACTTTGCTCTGTTCATTATATATGAAATTAGATTGGGGGTGTTCAATTTTCTATTTAATTATGGATAAAATATTATTAAACATCTTTTTCTAAAAAATATGTGAAAAAATTAACATTAAATTTTGAAAGAAAGATAGATATCTATTTGCAATTGCCATCACTTGTTTGTAATGTTGACTTAAATACTAGAATTACTTATTAGAATGTGGCATTTCTTCTACATTTGGCCATGAATTCAGAACAGAATTCTTGTGGAAATTTAGACAAAAAGACTTAAAGAAAGAAAGAAAGAAGAGGGTTGTATCTGATTGAATCTGTAAAACGATTACAAAACAAACAATTATGAAACATTCCTGAACAGTAATGTATAACACTGTAATAAGTTCCAGATTCTGGGATATTTTATTACCCACTTCTGCCACCTCTATCTCTAATTTTGGTATTTAGTGAATATGCAATGTGCATTTTGTTTAGTACTGTTCTTTGACCCTTTTCTGAACGAATACTTTGTGTAGTATCCACACACAAAGAACGTGAGACTGAGATAATTGTTGTGTCACATGAGACAGAGGAAGAGAAGAAATGTTGTTTATGATATTCCACATAACAGATTCCTATGTCACAATAGTGTATTGAATGACAGTACTGTACTTTTAGGAAACGCAGGCATGCCATAATTAAAGGCTTTCACTTACATAACTTGTAAAAACTTTACCTTTCTTTGCTGTTGATACTTACAGCAAACATCAATTCCTTTTAGCTACTTCACAGATTCTCCTTTAGCTTATTCAAATTGAGCACATTTCCTGAGAACAATTGCTGTCACCTGCTGCACCTAGAGTCCAATAAGAGTTTTATTATGAAATTGCCATGTTTCATTGATGGAGTTTTCCATATTTGCTTTCCCACAGTGGTTTCCTACATTTCTTCTCATCACAAACATCTATTAGAATGGATTCGTCACTGGTAACTTCTAAGCAAGTGTGTATCAACCTTGGAAGATGTGTATACTTCACTTCCCAGAATTCCTCAGCTAGCCTTTCTGGCTGAGGTATTCTGGGAGTTGAAGTCATAGATTTTAAAATTCCCAAGGTTGAGAAACACTGTTTTAAGCTATCTCTCTTGAATGGTCTTGCTTGTGAACCATGTAAGAACACATAGTAGGTGTGTTCAAGAACCTTTTCTCTCTAGTGTTGCTACCATGACTTGCTGGAACTGTAGTAAGCTCTCCTGGCTCGCTAAGAAAACACATTGTCCCCGTTGGTGGGAGAATATTTTGAGGATCCTAATTAGCTGATGAAAATTCAGTGGCATGTGGTTTTATATGAATCTAGAAATGACTCATCAACCTGCACTGTTCTACCAAAAGGAAAGGAGAAATATGATAAAGTTTATACCCATAGTTCTGTGTCAATTGTAACAGGAAAAACCTTGATTGATTTTTCCTGATTGGAATAAAGCTGTTTAAATAACAAGCTAAGGATAAAGTAAGACTTGGGGAATCACAGTATTCTAGTACCAATGTTAACTGCCAGAACTTTACCTAAACTAAGTAAAATCTAGTGATCCAGTGCTCTCATTTATCAATATTGGTATATTATTCATTATTTCCTCCAAATAATTTGGGTTGCCAGTATGTTCAAGAATTTAATAAACAAACAAACAAGGTATTAGATGGAAACCATGCATGATGTTGTTTTTGAGAAAGATAAACTGGAGGTTTGCCTTATACGGTTGTCTTTAGGGTAGGATAACTGGTTTCTTAACATTGGTTTAAATTTTGCCTCCCTGGTTTTCACCTGACTATATTGTGGCTGAACTATGATTTATATTTGAGATTGCAAATAAATAAAGTTCTTCGAATACATCAAGTGAGAGTCCATGGGGTCCATAAGTCAAATGGGACCATGACCCCATTTTGCCTAAACTTAAGCATCTCCAACATTTGCCGCTAAAATTTTGCAGTGTAATTTCCTACCCTTTTTTCTGGAACAATGAGCCTCACACTTTGAAAAACCTTTAGCCATCCTGCTGTCACTGTTTCCCTGGAAATAGACCTTTGGCTCTCTTACAAAAGCAACAAAATCTTATCACTTATTAAGAAATGAAATACCTTAGAATTGCTGATAACTAAATAAATTCCTAAAGGAAATCAATCCAGACTGTTCTTTGGAAGGGCAGATACCGAAGGTGAAGCTCAAGTACTTTGGTTGCCACATGAGAAGAGAGGACTTATTGGAAAAGACCCTGATGTTGAGATAGATTGAAGGGAAAAGGAGAAGGGGAAGCAGAGGATGATGATGGCTAGATGATGTCATTGACGCAATGAATATGAATTTAGGCAAACTCTGGGGGACAGAGGAGGACAGGAGGCCCTGGCATACAATGGTTCATGGGATCACAAAGAGTAATTTAGACACCACTTAGTGACTGAACAACAACAACAAACACACCAATGTCAATCAGAACAACCAGCTGCTCATAGACATTTAATTGTGAATTATATCCATTTGCAAATTATCTTGCTGATGAAGACAAATGATTTTCAAATGGAAAATCAGATACAGGGTCATAGTGAAAATGATTAATGGAACCTTATACCTTTATACAATTTCTCATATTTTTATTGGTAAGTTTGCAGTAGTTCTGTTGATATCATGCAATAAATCTTTGTTTTCTTCCCAGGGTGAATGATTTTGCTGCTTATAACTTCTTGTTCTTTCTTGCTGCTTTTACAGTGCTCTACCACTTGATATTCGCCCTGCCACACCTGTAATAAAAAAAAGCTATCTGAATGGGCCTTCAGACATCCCGCTTATTTCCAAAACTGTGGATCAGTGCCTAGAGGAAACCACCCACCGATATCCAGAAAGAGAAGCCTTGGTATTCTTAACTGAAGGGATCCGAAAAACTTTTTCTCAATTTAAGCAAGATGTAGGTAACTGTTACAGATTCTGTACTGCCGGTGTTGACAATTTGTTATTCAGTAAACATTGTATGTGAATATAATAATTTAAAAGGATAGAAGGGGTAAATAAAAGTAATAGGTTGAACTGGCTGCATTTTAAAGTCGAATGAAAAAATAAATAAATAAAATAATAAAATAATTAGAAAAGCTGTCCACGCTGCTAGAGAAATGCATTTCAAAATGTTACAGAGGTTCTGGCCTTTGGAAACTGCAGTCTGAAATGTTGTCCTAATATGTTATCCAATAATTTCTGCCCCACCCCCGTGCAATTCAGTAGAATGGACACACAGCAGGTCCCTTCAATCAAAGAATGTCATCTGTCAGGACTGAAACAGCCACCTTTTCTTTTGTGACACCTGCCCTCTGGAATAGCATCCTCCCAGAGATCTCTAGGGTTCCCACCTACAGCTGTAATAGAAGGTGTTAAAATATGGCTCTGTCCCCAGTCCTGGGGTTAGAGTGAATGCTGAGCAGACTTTGTAGTTTTACCGGTTTGGAGCATGTTTGGTTGTTTCTCTCTTCTGGACATGCGTGCTTTTTGATTGCTTCATTTTATTTTCCCTTGTATATACTGTAAAACACTCATAGTATTTGGGGGAATCAAATAGTAGCCAAAGTGAAAGATAAATAAATCCATAAATGTCAAGATTGGTTACTCAAGGGTTCCAAGGTTTAGAACTGAAAATAGAATGTGGAAGTAAACCTTGATGAGGCCTTGGTTAAAATAAGGTTCTTACTGTATTATTAAATGCCCAAATTAATATTTCAATTCCTAATCCTTAATTCTATCAGAGATCTAAACACTGTGATAAAGGCCCTGATGTGACTTCAGATTACATCCTCCTTCCTTGGGTTGCATGTTTTCTATCTGAACGTGGACCCAAGTACATTTTCTGGCATTCAGAAATGTAAGAATGCTGGAGATTTCCATTCACTGATATTTTCAAATCTGGAGTAGGAATGCAGGATAAACAGCCAACTTCTTTTCTTTAAACACTTACAGTGGCTACTTTATTGTAGAGCACAGAGCATTCGTTTCATATACAGTATTCTATTATTCCTTACCCTTGGAATTGAGTTTGCTGAGATTCCTGTTCTTTTGAAAATTGCAGGTGGAGCAAGCTGCTACCGGGCTTCTGGCCCTTGGTTTGAAAAGGGGTGACAGATTAGGAATGTGGGGTCCTAACAATTATGAATGGGTCCTAATGCAATTCGCTACAGCCCAGGCAGGGATCATTCTGGTAAGTTCATCTCTTTTGTAAGCGGTTAGCGGAGGGTGGGAGGTTAAGGGAGAACTCTGCACAAGGCTGTCATATGAGAGAAGGGACCATGTGGATCTAAATAATGTTCATCATGCACCAGGTGTAATTTTGCATAAGGTTTGGAGTTTGTTGCACTTGCTGCAAAACTGAAAACAATCTAGATTCCTAGTGTTGAATCCTGTCATCTGAAGAGGTGTTTTTTGACCAACGTTAGCTGCTTCCAAAAAAAAGGGGGCAATTTTAACAGCTTGCACCAGCACACATATTGACCATGATCATTTCTCAAGGGTAGGAACGCACAATGAACTCTATTCACCTCCAACCCAGCAGGAAAGCAATCCTCACCCATCTTTATTCTACGCAATAAAAGTCAGCATTTTCTGACTTTTGATAGCTTGTTGTGCCAGTGCCATCCAGGTGGCTTGGCTGCACCATTTTATTCTAGGCAAATCCCTTCACTCTTGCTGCCTATTGTGCCCTTTGGCAAGGAACCTCCTTCCCTCTGGCTATTGCTTGCTGTCATCTATGGCCGTGATTTTATTTACTTTTGCAGTTTACTGATACAGCCATAAAATAATTTCTCCATCCCCCTTAAGGTTAAAACGACTTCCCACTTCTAACCTTTCCACCGTGGCATCTTGGGCAAGATGTCAGATGCAACTGACAGTCAAAGTCCTGTTCCTGTTTTTACAGGGATTGTGCATGCAACTCAAAAAGAAGAGGGAGAGTTCTAATTACATGGCCATGGCTACCCTTTTGAATTTTTTGGCACTCCCCCCCCACATTCCTTGCTGATACCCTTCTCCTAGCCTAAGAAATAGGAAATATGGTAAAACTATGATCTTTTCTTCTGCTTCTTTTTTTTTTTTTTTGCCAATCCAGAAGGGATAAAGCAGCAATTTACTCTACCAATTGAGGGCTTTGGTAGATGAGGTCCAGGTAGAACATCAGGCTAAATCAGAGGAAGGAGTTGAAGTCCAGAAAAAGATTCCTTAAACTGCTTTGTTTCTAACCATTCACACCTTGGTTACAAGCAGCTGAAGTCCTAAAACTAATTTCATGTATGTCATTTATTGTGTTTTTGAGCCTCTTCTTTGCTATTGATTAATATTGTGGAAGAAAAAAAACAGGATTTTAATATGCTTGTGGCAGATTGTTTTACATCAACAAATGGTCAAGCAGAAAAGTGTATAACATTGCATTGAAAATAACTATGATTTTTGTGTTACTTGTGTACTTTAGTAACATAGGTGCACAGATTTTATTTAAAAAATGTTCTTCATCTTTCATCAACCTTGGGGTAAAATTGGCAAGAATGCTTGTATTGTAGAAAACAGTTGCTTTATGTTGCAAAGGATACAGATTATGAAGCTAAATAATGTGGACAAGAGGACCACAGATTTGAAAATGATGCACTTTCTATTTGTACAATATTACTGACTATATTACAACAGATACTAAAGAGGACTTACTTCATAGGAATATAGAATGTAAGGGTTGGAAAGAACTTCAGATATCACTAAATACAAGATCATCTTTTCTTCCTCCTCTTCCTCTTCCTCCTCCTCCATCATCATCATATATTATGGTGAGATTTCCATGATGGGAAGCAGAACTAGAGCAATAATACATATAGATAAAAGCAAAAGATTCCTAAGTGAGAAGATAAATACTTTAAAATGCACAGGATATATGTTGTTAATTTACCTTCATGATCCTCCAAAGCCAATATTACCACAAGATGTCTGACCTTTTGCCTTTGTTAATACTGGGCTGCATGAAGAACTGCACTTCAGGGACCTCTGCTTGCTCTGGATCAAGGCCCAGGAAACCAATTAGCGTTTATTCTATTTATTCTGAACTGGCAATCTGGGTCTCACTTAGTTCCTTATAAGTCTTCACAGCAGACTGATTTTACTATTGCTGCATTTCCAGGTGTCTGTGAACCCAGCATACCAGTCCAACGAACTGGAGTTTGTCCTGAGGAAGGTATGAAAGACCTGTTACATCATCTCTGCTTAATTTTACCCCTAACATTTTTGATAGAATTTTCTGTTCTAGAAATAGAATTCTTGAGATAATAGTGAAGTATGGGAAAAAGTACAAGGAAAAAAACTAACTATCCCTACCATAAGGGGAGAAATTGAAGTATTTGAAACTTTGTAGTTAGGTGGTGGGAAAGACATCCCTCTACCTCCTATAGCATAACACTCACCCTTAATGATTGTAGAGTTGGCAATAATTAATCAGGATTCTTAAATTTTGTATATCCATTTTATAAGTAGAGTAGTTGTGAATGTTAGGTGCTGGCAGTACTCAACAGAGAGCAGTGTCACACTCACAGTTTGCTTATGAATGTCTGGCTAGCAATTCATAAATCCGGAATACCTGATTTAATGCTTCTCTGCTCAGATCCAACTAAGAGGTTCTTTTATTCTTAATTTTTTTTGTTGCCAGTTAACTGGTGCAAAAGCAAAAAAGAATAAAGAAGCAAAGAATGATCTTATCTTTGCATATGCTAATGCTCTGACGCCAGTCCACAGAGAAAGTCTAGTGGCTCTCCATAGAAAAATCACTGTTATTGTCTGATGTAGAAAAATAAGGAGTATCAAACAATAAAAGTGTAGTGTTGAAATGTAAAGCAGTCTCTATTGTATAAAGTGTTAATGTTTGCTGTTCAATGTGCAATCAGTTAGTGCCTAAGGATATTTCAGGGAGCCAAAGTAAACTCTGGTGTTTAACATGGGAGTCAGGTGCTTTTCAATATTTCCTAATAATATACATCCTAGCTGGGCAACTCATGACCCTTGATCACAAAAGTATAGCTGATGGAGCCAGGGTATATGGCACTCATTTTTCCCACCAGTCAGATGATCTGAACTGCTTGTTTCCTGCTTCAGTTAGACTACCGCTGTGCAGAGAGGCCAGTCCTAACTATGCCATTCAACTTTCTTATCCTTAATAATGGAGGATTAAAACTGTTAAATAGTTTATAAATAAAATTAATCCTGCTAGGATTAAGAAGCCTTTGGGACTTGCCTGTCTTGTTTAGTTTTCCAGCTAAATGGCTGTAATCCATATCTCACTCATAATTCAAAGTAGCATTTTAATGCCAGGTCATCTCTGAATTTCCCCCGATGTCCACAGCATTATCCCTAATCCAGTAGGCTGGAGGGTGTGTGTTGCAGAGCTGCTGTTTCAGCTTCATAATTCCATTCATTTTTTTGTTTAGAGCCCCCCTCCTTCTTCTCCATTCCTATTCCTCATGGTTTGTTTGCTAGCAATTCCAATGGCTATCTGCCAGTTCTGCTTTCTCAGTGTTGAAAAATAAGAAGCACGAATCATGTAAGACATGGAATGTACATTGAATTTGACAGGTTCTGTGATTATTTCTGCTTCTGTGATGCTCGAGGAAAGCAATCAAATTACCAACATATTCCAGTGCTGCTAAGCACCGTCATAAAAATTGCTGTTACTTTTATAGTGCAAAAACTACTTTTATACTCTAATATATTTTGCAGAGAGCTAACCTGCTGACCAATTTAATTGTGGGAGGTTCCAATCCTCTGATCTTTCACTATAAGCTTACATAGCAGTTAATTTCATTGAATTCGTAGGGGCATATTTCAAAGGAACCCTGAGCTGTTTAGGACAAAATCTGTATATACACATTGGATAGTGAGTTCCATTAAAGCAAAACTGGCTGTACCCCGGAGGCAAAAGAGATCATTCCTGACCATGCCAAATCTCTAAGAATTCCTCATTTAGAGGGGGGAAACAACCACCAGCATTTGAGATGGAATGCAAATGTACAGACACTGGATTCATATAGTTTGCATTTAAGGTGAGTTGTTTGCAACACAATGCATCCAATGCACTAGAGTGGAAAATGTTGTCTACACACACTCTCAAATGTGACTAATCCTATTAGTATGAATAATTACTTCTGAGTAAATTTCCATAGGGCCCAATTCTAGAAATAAAATTTTATTGAATGATGGGGAAGACTTCATAAAATGGAAGCTTCTTCTTTTAATACGTATAACATTAATGCTTTCTTCTGGCCAATGTTTTCTTTGACTCATGAACTAAATACTTTGTGCACTTTAGTCTATAGTAGGGGTGTCAAACTCGTGTCGTCACAGCATCGTCACATGACATATTGCAACTTTTTCCCCCTTCGCTAAACCGGGGGTGGGCATGGCCAGAATATGACACATCTGGCCCGTGGGCTTGACAATCCTGGTCTATAGCATACGCCATGACTGCTTTTTATATGGACCAGTCTGAATTTGGTGAAGTTCCTCCTGCATTTCAGGGGATTCCACTCCATGAACTAAGTGATTCTTCTAGATCAGGGGTGTCAAACTCAAGGTCTGCAGGCTGGATTGCACTTAAATCCGGTCCGTGGGGCCAGCCTGGATATATCAAAGGACCGGCACGTGGGGCCTCTGCTGGCCAAAATGGGCTACTGGGGGGGGGGCGCACGTGGCCTGTTTTTGGCCTCCACAGCCTCCTTCAGCACTCTGCTGGCTGAAAACAGGCCCTGCAGAGGCCTTGCGAGGCCTCCGCACAGCCAGTTTTTGGCCGACAGGGTGCTGCAGGAGGTGTCCGTCCCATCTCGGCCACCCCCACCCCCCAGCCAGAGGAGAACTACAATGCTGATCCGGCCCTTGAAGAAATCCAGTTTGATACCCCTGTTCTAGATCAAGGGTTCTCTATTTTAATTAATTATATAATTAATATTTCAAGAAGATGGTCTTGCCCAGTAAATCAAACTTGGGTCTATCCAAGACCAAAGACCAAGATAGTCTACACTTAGAAGCAGTTGCTCTCCACTGTTTGTACTGAAAGATGCCACAAACTGTACTTTACTGCTCATTGAACAGTGACCTACAATGGCAAATCCAGGGAGACACTGATGAATGTGGAATGTTAAGGTTCTATGTGACTTTCTTACAATTTAGTGTGTGAAAACTGTACTATCTTCAGTGAATCTCTCTTCATTGTTTTCTGCGCACTGTGACTTTGTTATATAGGCTGATTTAAAAACTATTTTCTTTCTTATGTGTATTTCTGTAGGTTGGCTGCAAAGCACTCGTGTTCCCTACCCAATTTAAAACTCAGAAATACTATGAGATCTTGAAAAATATATGCCCAGAATTGGAACATTCTAATCCAGGAGCACTGAAGAACAAGAAGTAAGTTTATATATATTGTACCTTAGAGCAGTGTTTCTCAACCTTGGAAGCTTGAAGATGGGTGAACTTCAACTCGCAGAATCCCCCAGCCAGCGCTGCTGGCTGGGGGATTCTGCAAGTTGAAGTCCACCCATCTTCAAGCTACCAAGGTTGAGAAACACTGCCTTAGAGTGTTATTCCATTCCAGGATTTAGCAGCCTGACAGAAATTAGTGTTGCTGGAGCATGTGCGCTATGAAGCTACAAACAGTTCTGCCTCTGGTTTGCATAGGGTACCATGCAAGTCAGAGACCCAGGCTTGTTTCAAGTGAGAGAAAACCTATACCATGTCTTTCTTGTTTGTGAGGCATTAGTTCAGGACATAAAAAACTTTCGATTCACACATGGTGCTAAACTATCATGTATGTTTGAGTTATTGTTGGTTTTGCTTAAATGGCATAGTTTGTTATGTGATCTATAACTTTGCATTTAACTATGGATCTCCACAGGATCAACCTCAGTATTTATGTGAATATACATTATGTTCTTTCTTTTTTCAATGTAATTATGATTGAAATGTAATTCAATTCAATTTAATTATGGTTAAATGAATGTTAATACTGCTTAATGCGAATAATAAGCAAGGCAATGTTAATTTTTGCCATTTTTTTCCCTTGAACACTTTGTCTGGATATAATAATGGGCAAAGGTCATAAATGTGCAATCCTGGTTCAGTTGGTCTCTCTCATATACATTTATAATGATCAGTGTATTCATTAACTAGTTCAGTACTGACATACATTGACACAGGCACTCCTTTGACCTGAAGAATATTCTTTTTCTCCTGGAAGGAGTGCTTGTGGCTATTGCTTGTGGCTATGGATTCCTAATCTTTTCTCCAAACATATTTATTTTCTTCTAATCTATTTTCCAAAGCACCTGAGGGCAGGACAAGAAGCAATGGGTGGAAACTAATCAAGGAGAGAAGCAACCTAGAACTAAGGAGAAATTTCCTGACAGTTAGAACAATTAATCAGTGGAACAACTTGCTTCCAGAAGCTGTGAATGCTTCAACACTGGAAGTTTTTAAGAGATTGGACAACCATTTGTCTGAAATGGTATAGGGTTTCCTGCCTAAGCAGGGGGTTGGATTAGAATACCTCCAAGGTCCCTTCCAACTTTATTCTGTTATTCTTTTAATTGCCATGCAAATCATACAAATCTTATTTTCTCCATAAAGGGTAATCATAATCTCATTATGGGATATAATTCATAATCAGAAAAAAAATGTATACAGGAAATCTTCGACTTGCAACCATTCATTTAATGACCATTCAAAGTAACAGCAGTACTAAGAAAAGTACTTAGTACTTATGACTATTTTTCATACTTACAACCATTGCAGCATCTTTATAGTCACATGATCATAATTTGGACACTTAGCAACTGACTCGTATTTATGATGGTTGCAGTGTCCCAGGATTATGTGACCAATTTTTGCAAACTTCAGAAAAGCAAAGTTAATGGGGAAGCCAGATTCATTTAATATCTGTGTTACTAACTTAACAACTGTAATTGATTCACCCAACAACTGTGGCAAGAAAGGTCATAAAATGGGGCAAAACTCTCTTAACAAATGTCTTGCTTAGTAAGATAAATTTTGTGCTCAATTTTGGTCATAAGTGAATGACTACCTGTATTTGATTTGACCTACACTTGGAGGACTTATTCCATGAGCTTCTTTTTACATTATGGGAGGTTGAACTTTCCCTTCTGTCATATATATGACTGGGTGTTCCTTTGCATCAGATTACCAGAGCTTTCTGTTATAATTTGTGTGGATGCCAAGCTACCTGGCACATTCTCAATGCAGGAAGTGATGCAAGCTGGAGAGAGCAGCCACATGAAGGAGCTACAGGCAATACGGAAGATGCTGATCAACAAAGAACCAATTAATATCCAGTTTACTTCAGTAAGTACTATATCAACTGCTGTATATCTTTTCCAGTATTAAAAAAAAAAAGCAGTCCATGATGATCCAAGATAGGAAGCCTATTTTTTGCCAAGCGGAATAAACTGGTACTTAGAATTTACTGCAAATAATTGTTGATGCTGATTTTTGTTGCCATATGGCTCTTTATAAAAACATAGTTGTTGTATATTAAGGATATGCAAACCCTCTGAAAGGGGTATTCTGGGACAGGTGTGTAAATACAGGTAGTCCTTGATGACCGTAATGGAGCCTGCCTTTATGGTCACAATATCATGCAGTTGTTAGGCTTCATCCGCATTGTTGCTCTCTCCAATGAAATGTTAAAGAAACAGGTCAGTTGTTAAGTGGAGAGCGGGATACTTCCTGGGTAGTGGGGAAGCCATTGGAGCAGAGGTGGGTTTCAGCAGGTTCTGACCAATTCTGGAGAACTGGTAGTGGAAATCTTCAGTAGTTTGGAGAACCGGTAGTAAAAATTCTGACTGGCCCCACCCCCATCTATTCTCTGCCTCCCAAATCCCAGCTGATCGGGAGGAAATGGGAATTTTGCAGTACCCTTCTCCTGGATTGGAGAGGGAATGGAGATTTTACAGTATCTTTCCCCTGGAGTGGAGAAGGAATGGAGATTTTACAGTATCCTTCCCCTGCCACACCCACCAAGCCATGCCATGCCCACCAAGCCACACCCATAGAACTGGTAGTAAAAATTATTAAACCCACCACTGCATTGGAGGCCTAATACAGGACCAAGCCCACCTGCCCTGGCCCATCTAAGGCCTCCCCCCACCCCCAAAGATGCTCCTTGTCATCTCCTGTGCCTGAAGTCCCAACAGGCCTTTACCCACTCTCACATGTGTCCTTCCAGGCTGTAGGCCTGATTCCCACCCTACTGGGCCAAATACCCTTCTCCTCACTTACCTTTAGAAGAACTCTGAGGTCTTCCAGACCACTGTATGACTAGCTTCTTTGCACGGCTGCATGGTGTGATTCTGAAAAGAGCTGCCATTTTATCCCACCCAGAAAATGGCAGCTGCATTTGGGTTGCCACCATGCGCCTCGGGGACAAACTGCTTCGTTTTGTTTCCCTAACGAAGTCTGCACGTTGCTTCAGAAAGCTTCTGAATGCTTTATTCTGCTGGCCTCAGAAAGATCTCTGCAGCATTGCAGAAGCTGCTTGTGGGAGGGACAATATGGTGGCTGCACTCGGGTCACTGCTGTGTGGCCCCGAGAAAACTGCTTTATTTTGGTGCCTTAACAGGGTTGACCTCTCTAAGGCAGAAAACAAAGCAGTTTGTCTGTTGGCTTCCCTTTTGTCCCTGCTCACAAGTGGACAGGACAAAATGACAACCGCATCTGGATTATTGCCATGCAGCCTGGAGATACATGGCCTGCCCTCCTTCCACAACATGAGGTCCTAGAGCTTCGACAGGTTAAGTGTGGTGCACGATGGGCATTTGGGCAGGAGGCTGCATGGGAGGAGAGAAGCAGGGGGTGCTGCAGTGACCCTGTCACGAGGGGTAAGGGTGTATGGCTGCAGGGCTGCTGCAGCCATCACAATTTTAAAATGGGGTCATATGTAGCTTGGACGTTGTCCCCAATTCGGGTCTGACCCTGGTGCTGAAGCTAATGAAGAACATCAGACGCCAGGTGCGGGTTTTGTTTCCTTTTATTGAAGTGCTCCAAGAAATGGGGTCCTGGCCAGAAAATGCCTAGGAACCCTGAACAATAGAATTAAGAAAGCTTTATACAATTTCACTAAAGTGGAAGGCAGGATAAGGTGGGATATATGAGAAATATAATCTAATAAACATTTTAGTAATGATTTAACAATTGTTCTATTGGTTTCTAGCTGTCCCTATTTCTAAGCCTTGGCTAATTAATGCTTCAGGAATTATCTAATACACATTCTGTTTGCTCCAGGCCATCTCTGTTCCTAACTTCTAGCTGGGGCATGCAGGATGTCTAACTCTTTGTTTCTGTTATCAGTCCTCTAACCACCCAGAGGTGATACAAGTTTTACATGTGCATATTCCCTGTGAATAAGCATTCTTTGTTCTTGCCAGACAGGTTCCACAATTGCAGGATTCCCGATTTCCTTTCAAGTGTATGTCATAGCCTTGTATTGTTTTAGCGGACAGCCCATCATGGGGGAGGAGTCTTTTGTAACATAGAATGTTCATTAAATGGCCTCTCATACCTTGAAGACATCGTGTACCTCAGTTTTCAGAATGTGAAATATGACTTTTGAATTAATGGAACTGAGCATGTGGCTATATAATATTAACTTCAAAAATATTTGTCAATACTGGGAAGAAAAAGTGCTATATAAAAGCATGCACACACTTGAAATATCTTAACCCATGAATGTTTCAGTGCCTATTTGGTTTTTTGGGAGGAAGGGTATCACTACATCTTTTTGGTTATATTTTACCTATGGTAGATCAATGCATGCTAGGAACATTGGACCACATGGTTCAGTGTTGCTTAACAGAATGAGAGCAGTTGTCCAGACTTGTAGCTGTTCAGAATGGAACCTAATAGTTTCTCCAAGCATAGCATTTTCCCAAAGCCTCTTACCTGGAAGTCCAAAAGTAATTTAGAGGTTAGGAATCATTCCATATAATATATTTCACCCACCTCATGTAACATCCTTCCCGCTCCCAAATTACTTGGCGCCCTCCCTTTTGATATTCCAAAAGGCCCTCAGATTTGGTTATATAATTAGGTCTGAGGCTCTCACAGAGCTGGAGGCTTGTCTAGATAGTTTCATTGTTGAGGGGACCATTGTTAATTCTCCCTTCATCTATGCTTGTATTTTGGGTTTTTAGGATATTTACTACTTTTTACATTTGCATTTTGCTGTTTTTGTATATATATATTTTGTTTTGCCTATTGTTGGTGCACCATCCAGAGTCATCTTCAGTGAGATGGAAGATTATATAAATTTGATTCTTCCTTTCTTCCTTCCTTCCTTCCTTCCTTCCTTCCTTCCTTCCTTCCTTCCTTCCTTCCTTCCTTTTTCTTTCTTTCTTTCTTTCTTTCTTTCTTTCTTTCTTTCTTTCTTTCTTTCTTTCTTTCTTTCTTTCTTTCTTTCTTTCTTTCTTTCTTTCTTTCTTTCTTATGCCCTAGTATTTGAGAAGAATATAGGCAATTTGTAACTTGATCAGCAAAGAATCCCAACCAAATAAAAGAAACTCTTCTACACAAAAGTCAAGACTTGAGACCCAAAGATTGCAATCCAATAAATTTCTGGAAATCACTAAAGTCCTACCTGACAGAGGCAATGACTCTTTTCTGCTTCTTTGAGGATTAAAATTGTAGCCCTCTTTTCATTCCTTCTTGGAACTAGAGTCAACTGAGTTATGTGTGAGTCTTCCTATCTTTCTGAAATCTGGCTTGATCTTGTATTAATAGGATTTTTAGAGTTGGGGCATCATTGTAGCATTCCATTTTAAAGCAATTGATCTCTTATAATTTTTATAATGTGCTAGGATCATCCTAATTAGTAAATGAATTTTCTCTTTCCTTCAGGGAACGACAGGAAGTCCCAAAGGAGCAACACTTTCTCACTGTAATATTTTGAATAATGCAAATTTTATTGGTATAAGAATGGGACTAAATGAGCTGGTAAGTCTTCTCTGCCTGCTGTACTTTTTATGTACACTATAGAATGGAAACTCTTCAAATGCTATCTCTACAGATAAGAGAACTTTTCATGATTGTATCATATGATGCATCGTTCTTGTCTTGGCTTAATAAAAAATGTATTACAGTTTTCAGGATACAATATAAAGATTGGTAAGCTAGGTGTTTTTCAAAGAACTCAATAAGAATCAATCATGTGTTTTGCCATCAGATTTTAGAAGGTTTGGCCTTCTTACACACCACCAATGTGAACTTTTTATAGGATATTCTTATCCTGTAAATCAGGGTTTCAAACTTTATTTCATTGAGGGCCGCATAAAGGTTGTGTTTGACCTCAGCGGGCTGGGGTGGGCATGGCCAGCTTGACGTCACTCATGTTGGGGGTGCTGTGGCCTGAGTGCTCTGCCAGCGAAAACAGAGCTTGGAGGGGGGGGCTGTGTGCGCTGCCCTTGCAAGCTCCATTTTTGGCCAGAACGGCCTCTACAACTCTCTGCCAGCTCCCCCTGAGCTCCGTTTTTGCTGGTAGAGGGCTGCAGGAGGCTGTTGCGGCTGAAAACAGAGCTTGTGAGGGCCACATGCGGCCCTCCTGAGGTCCGTTTTTGCTGGCTGCAAAAACGGAGCTCAGGAAACCCGCGTGTGGCCCTCACAAGCTCTATCTAAGCACTCGGTGGGCTGGAAGCAGCCCACAGGCCTTGAATTTGACACCCCTGTTGTAAATGTTTCTGACTTTTCAATTATAGGGAACTTTTGACATGGAAATTCCTATTTAAAAATGAAACTAATATTCTATAGAAGACTAGGAACTGAAGAAGTCCAGCCTGGCCTTCCCTTCTCACTATCACTATCCCATTTGTGTAACTCCAACTCTCTTTTCATAAGTCTCCAGTAGGGATTCTTCTTGCTTATGGAATAAAAGATTATAAAGATGATGAAGGCTTATATTGGAAGACGACTCACTCCTATCTTGTTTGCTTTGACCCTAGGAAGCTCGTTGCTGTGTCCCTGTTCCTCTCTACCACTGCCTAGGATCCGTGGGAGGCTCTATGGTGATGGCTGTGCATGGTGTCCCCCATATTTTCCCCTGTCTCAGCTTTAATTCCAAAGCTGCTCTGAAAGCTATAGAAAAAGAAAAGTAAGAATCTGGCTGAAGCTATGTTCTGGAAAGAATATTAATATTAGAGTTATTTGTATTAATAATTAGTTAATGCTAATTAGTTACCCTTAGTGTAAACCACCTCTACCTTTCCCCCACCCTGTTTCCCCTTTTGCCCCCTTTTCTCTTCTTTTGAGACAGAACTGGAATGTTTTGGTCTCTTCCTTGTGTGGACCAAGCATATAACATGTGCAGGCAGTTTTTGGATATCTCTTTCCATCTTCCCTTTCTTCCCTGAAATATGAATATTGATTTGAAATATTGATTTGATCTTGGAACTCTAAGGAACAATCACTTAAATATGAGCCAGCAGTGTGCAGCAGCTGCCAAAAATGCCAATGTAGTCCTAGGCTGCATTAACAGAGGGATAGAGTCATGATCACGTGAAGTGTTAGTACCGCTTTATAAATCCTTGGTATGACCACACTTGGAATATTGCATCCCGTTTTAGAATAGAATGGAGCTGGAAGGGACCTTGGTGGTCATCTAGTCCAGCCCCCGCTCAAGTAGGAGACCTTATACCATTTCAGACAAGTGGCTGTCCAGTCTCTTCTTAAAAATCTCCAACGATGAAGCATCCACAATTTCTGAAGGCAAGCTGTTCCACTGGTTAATTGTTTTGGTTGCCACAATATGAAAAAGATGCAGAGACTCTAGAAAGAGTGCAGAGAAGAGTGACAAAGATGATTAGGGGACTGGAGGCTAAAACATATGAAGAACGGTTGCAGGAATTGGGTATGTCTAGTCTAGTGAAAAGAAGGACTGGGAGGGGGGGGTGACATGATGGCAGTGTTTCAGTATCTCAGAAGTTGCCACAAAAAACAGGAAATCAACCTATTCTCCAAAGTACCAGAAGCCAAAACAAGGAGCAGTGGATGGAAACTAATCAAGGAAGGAAACAACCTGAGTCTCCGGAGAAGGGCGGCATATAAATCAAATAAAAAAAACCAACTTGGAACTAAGGAGCAATTTTCTGACAGTGAGAACAATTAACCAATGGAACAGCTTGCCTTCAGAAATTGTGGGTGCTCATCTCTGGTTTTAACCATTATCGTCAAATTTAAGCTAATACATAACATATTTCTTTATCTTTGTACAAATTTACATTACTTCTTGCATGTCAAGTATATAAATTAATTCCTCCTAAACAGCTGCATCCACACTCAATATAATCATATCTCACATCCAAGTTTAACATGCATAACCAGAGACGTTAAACTGTGTCCATTGGTTTTTAATTTGAATAACTAATAAAAAACTTTTTTAAAAAAAGAAATTGTGGGTGCTCCATCACTGGAAGCTTTTAAAAAAGAGACTCGACAGCCACTTGTCTGGAATAATATAGGGTCTCCTGCAGGGGGTTGGACT